TGGGACTCTTGATCTTAGGGCCCTGAGTTCGAGCCCCACATTTGGCATAGCGCTTGCTTTTAAAAGAGAGAGAATAGTGACTGGGGAACTACGGGGTGAAGGATTTGGTAGCTTGGGGGGTGGAGATCAGAGATTGGTTGACATTTGGCTGTAATTGGGGGTCCCTGGGGCTGACTGGGGACAGAGTAGATTTAGACAAGTGGGGAGACAGTTTGTGGGGAGCATCCGACTAGTCACCAGGAAGCCCGTGGGTTAGTAAGTGTGAGGGGAGTGAGGGAGTTGTTGGTGTAAGTGACAGGGTTGTGGGAGTTAGTGATGGGCCAGCTGTCTGACTGACTGGGACTCAGAGCTTGCTGGGAGTGTGACTGGTCGAGTAGGTTGCGAAGGGCTTGAGGTGGGATTGATGGGAGGTCTTTGAGGCTACTCATGTCGTGGCCTTGGGGGTCAGTGATTGAAGACTAGGGATGCCAGGATATTGGGTATTGGTTGAGAGCTGACTGGGTGACCTATATAATCACAGGTCTGCGGTTCTATTTGTGGGTCTGGAAGTGGGTTTACTATATCGCATAAACTCTATGGCTTAAGAATTTAAGAAGACTTTAGATCACCTTTTTGTAATATCAGCATGGTTTCTCCCACCCTATGAGAGACTTGCCTTTGAAGTAGTGGGATTATTGATAATAATTGTTATTGATATGTATTTTCTATAATCACATCATGTAATAAGAAGAGCACTAACTAGCATTTGCTAAATGTTTACGTGCCTGTCATAGTTCTAAGGTATTTACATGTATTAACTAATTTAGAACTCTCAAGAACATTATGAGCTTAAAATGAACTACTTACTGTATTTTGAGGAGAAGCTCTGCGGAATTATTCATTTCATCAACTGCTGGATTCATTTTCCTCTTTTATTTATGCCTTTATTTAAAAATGAAATTGTTGTTCTTATTGTCTGTTGGCTATATATTTTGCACACACACACACACACACACACACACACGGTCTCTCTTTCCCTTGCCCACTTTGAGAGAGAATGAGTGCTTTGTGAAATACTGCTATTAATGCTATGGGGTTCCTTCTGCATAACCCATTATTTTGAGTCCTTTTTGGTCTGTTTAGAGTCTATAGAAAGCCCACTGAGCTTTTTTTTTTTTTTTAAGAATTTTTTTTTTTTAATTCATCTGAGACAGAGATACAGAATGAGAGAGAGCAGGAGCAGTGGGGAGCAGCAGAGGAAGAGGGAAAGAGGGAGAAGCAGACTCCCCGCTGAGCAGGGAGCCCGATGCGGGGCTTGATCCCAGGACCCTGAGATCATGACCTGAGCCGAAGGCAGATGCTTAACCATCTGAGCCACCCAGGCGCCCCCCCCACTGAGCATTAAATGCAGGTGAGTTTCCAGCAAGAAAGGGATATTTGCATCAACTAAAGAGTATTTGTTAACTGACTCAACAGATTCCAGTTTCCATGAAATAATTGGCTTATTTGAGATAAAGAAGAAGTCTCAGGACCAGGGATCCTCGGTGAAGAGAATCCTGACCAGAGACCTTTAATTTGAGCATTAAGATAGAGTCCAGGAGATACACAGAGTCCACAAGCAAAGAGCAGAGCCTACAGTTACTGGCCATTTCCCAAGAATAGCAGAAAATGACCAAGTCCCAGGTGAATAATTCTTTTATTTCCTCAATTGTAGTTCCATACAATTCACCCATTTAAAGTGAACAATTTACTGTTTTGTTTTTTAGTAAGTTTAGAGGCTTCTGCAACTGTCTTAATTATTCAGCCACAATCTAAATTTAGAATATTTTCATCCTCCAGAGAGCGCCTGGGTGGCTCAGTCGGTTAAACGTCTGCCTTCGGCTCAGGTCATGCTCCCAGGGTCCTGGGATCGAGCCCCGCATTGGGCTCCCTGCTCTGCGGGGAACCTGCTTCTCCCTCTGCTGCTCCCCCTGCTTGTGTTCCCTCTCTCGCTGTCAAATAACTAAATAAAATTTTAAAAAATAAAAATAAAAAGAATATTTTCATCCTCCCAAAAGGAAACCCTGTCTCCTTGGCAGGTATTCCCCATTTCTCCCCGCCCCAGCTCCAGGCCACCACCACAATATGCTTGCTGTTTCTCTGCATTTGCCCATTCTACCCATTTTGTCTCAACAGGATCACACACTACAGGGTCTTTTGTCACTGGCTTCTTTCGTGCAGCCTACTTTCAAGATGCGGCATGAATTAATAAATACTTTATTGTCTTTTGTTGTGGAATAATATTCTATTGTGTGACTATAGCACGTTTTGTTTATCAGTTCCTCATTTGCTAGACATTTCCACATTTTGGCTATTATGGATAATGTTACTACGAACATTTGTGTATATGTTCTCTATTCTCTTGGTACAAACCTAGGAATGGAATCACTGGTTCCTGTGGTAACTATATTTAACATTTTGAAGAACTGATAAACTTTTTTTTAAGTATTTTTTTTTTAAGATTTACTTATTTATTTTAGAGAGAGAGTGTGCGAGCGAGTGGGGGAAGGGGTGTGGAGCAGAGGCAGAGGGAGGGAGAGAATCTGAAGCTGACTCCCCGTTGAGGACAGAGCCTGACGTGGGGCTCAATCCCACAACTGTGAGATCATAACCTGAGCTGAAATGAAGAGTCGGGCGCTTAACTGACTGAGCCACCCAGACGCCCCTCTGATAAACTAAAAGTGGCTGCTTCATTTTACTGTCCCACCAGCCATATATAAGGGCCTCGACTTCTCCACTGCTCACCAACACTGTTATTGTCTGATTGTGGTCATTTCAGGGGGTGTGAAATGGTACCCTTGTGATTTTTATTTGCATTTCCCTCTGTACCCACATTGATGTGTCTGGGTATAAAAATTTTTTTTTAAGATTTTATTTATTTATTTGAGAGAGAATGAGAGATAGCACGAGAGGGAAGAGGGTCAGAGGGAGAAGCAGACTCCCTGCTGAGCAGGGAGCCTGATGTGGGACTCGATCCCGGGACTCCAGGATCATGACCTGAGCCGAAGGCAGTCGCTTAACCAACTGAGCCACCCAGGCGCCCTGGGTATAAAATTTTTATCCACATTCTTTATTGCTTTCAGTTGGAAGGCTCTTGTGTGCCTCCAACTTTGGGGAATTTTCTTGTTTTATTTCACTGATTATTTCCTCCCCTTTATTATCCATTCTCTCTAGCTCTGGAATACTTGATGGGTTTTTGGATCTATCCTCTGAGTTTAAAAACTTTTCTTTAATATGTTTGACTTCTTTTCTTCTCATCTTTATTCTTGCGGAGTTCATCAGTGTGGTAATTTACACTGCAAATGTCTTCTTTCAGGAGATACATTCTGCTGTCTGGCCAGTATACTGAGCTTTTTTTCCATTCAGGTATTTTTTTTTTTAAAGATTTATTTATTTATTTGACAGAGAGAAACACAGCAAGAGAGGGAACACAAGCAGGGGGAGTGGGAGAGGGAGAAGCAGGTTCCCTGCTGAGCAGGGAGCCCGGCCCCAGGACCCTGGGATCATGACCTGAGCCAAAGGCAGACGCTCAGTGACTGAGCCACCCAGGCGCCCTACATTCAAGTTTTAATAACAACTCATTTAATGATTCCATCTAATGTTTTAACGTGATGGTTGAAGATAAGGGGCTGAGACTCTAGTGTTGTTTACATTAAGATATTTGTTTCAAAATCAAAAATACAATTTTTCTAAGGATGATAACCTTATATAGAATGTAAAATCCAGATCTTGTGTTTGGCTTGAAATCATTCTTTTGGGGGCACCTGGGTGGCTCAGTCAGTGAAGCGTCTGCCTTCAGCTCAGGTCATGATCTCAGGGTCCTGGGTTTGAGCCCTGAGTTGGGCTTCCTGCTCAGCAGGGAATCTACTTCTCCTTGTGCACCCCCATGCTCTCTCCTTCTCTTTCTTTCTCTCTCTCAAATAAATAAAGAAAATCTTAAAAAAAAAAAAAAAGAATGTTAAATAACTGTATCACTTGGGGATGACTTCACTTACAAATAATAGCTCTAATAATAAAGCCCTTGAAGTTTCTCCTGTAGGACACCTGGAGTAGACAGTCCTGGGCTAGCACAGCTCTTGAGGGGTGCCATGAAAGGCTCTGGGTCTTTCCAGGGTTCTACTCTGCCATACTTCACAAGTTGGTTTTCTGTCTCACACATGTTGCCTCATGGCTCAAGGTGGCTACTGCCAAGTACTCAAGTACACGTCTGCTTTAAAAGCAGGGAGAGGGACACCTGGGTGGCCCAGTTGGTTAAGTGTCCAACTCTTAGTTTCGCTCAGGTCATGATCTCAGGGTCATGGATCAGGCCCTACATCAGGATTCGCGCTCAGCGCAGAATCTGCTTAACACTCCCTCTCGCTCTCCCTCTGCCCCTCCCCCTGCTCGCTCTCTCTCTAAAATAAATAAATAAATCTTTTTAAAAATAATAAAAAATAGGGGTGCCTGGTTGGCTCAGACGTTAAGTGTCTGCCTTTGGCTCGGGTCATGATCCCAGGGTCCAGGGATCGAGCCCCACATTGGGCTCCCTGCTCAGCCAGGAGCCTGCTTCTCCCTCTGCCGCTCCCCCTGCTTGTGTTCCCTATCTAGTTGTCTCTGTCTCTGTGTCAAATAAATAAATAAATCTTTAAAAAATAATAATAATAAATAAAAGCAGGGAGAATAGTAGAGCAGAGGGTACTATCAGTATCTCTCTCTTTTATCAAAGAAGCAGCAGCTTCCCCCAGATGGCCCTTGCACACTTCCTAGATCCCGCTGCCAACACACAGTCACAGGACTAACTCTAGATGTAAGAGAGACAGAAGGACAAAGGGAACGGTTGTGATTTGTTACCGGGAACGGGGTGTATTTGCACCCCTCATACAATTGAGGTTAGCAGACAGAAGGAGAAGAGCTATTCTGAATACTGCTAGTGGCTCATACCCCGGGGCCCTTACATCTCTCTTTCATTATCCAAAACCCATTGGTTCAGAGTTACTAGGAGCATGTTCTTTCAGGGATCATTGTCGTTTGAGGATGTGGCTGTGGACTTCACGCGGGAGGAGTGGCAGCTGCTGGACTCTGCTCAGAAGACTCTGTACAGAAATGTGACGTTGGAGAACTTGAGCAGCCTTGTGTCACTAGGTAAGGACACATCCTGTGTGGACTCGGCCCAGTCAGCTGTCTTTTCCTGTTCGTTTACTGAAAAATGGGACCTGTGAACTGTGTAATGACTTAGGGCTTTAGTTTAAGAATTCAAAAATTCTTAGCCCTTCTTTGTCTTCAGAGTGTTTGTCCATGTGCATCCCAAATGAAAGGCCTCATTCACAGCCTCTGAAGCTAAGCATTTGTTTATTCTTTAGAAGCCTGAAGCCCAAGAAATTGGGCTCAAGTCCTGTGTGATTTTCCATACACAGGGTTTCAACTTATCAGACCAGATGTGATCTTTAGACTGGAGCAGGAGAAGCCACGGGTAATCAGTGAAGACATCCCCAGTCAGAGCTTTTCAGGTGAGTCACCTGGGAGGCAGGGTGATTGGAATGCCCTTTGAAGTGAACAGTGAAGACAGTGAAGGGTGGGCACCTTCACGATGTTGTTGAGAGAATTCTCAAAGTCACTAAACCTTTGGAAGTTACTTAGAACCATTGAGATGGGGATGCCTGGGTGGCTTAGTCGTTAAGCATCTGCCTTCGGCTCAGGTCATGATCCCAGGGTCCTG